TAACATTGCGAATAGTAGAATAAGCATTAAGAGAAATTTATAATTTATGGTAGAAGATATGAATGATTATAAACTAAACAAAACTGATATAAATGAAAAATAACATAGCAATTTCTCAAGTGGCATAGTCTATACACCTTAAGTTAATTAAAAGTAACTCATGAAATCACTACTAATCAAACAAGGCATAAAATAATTAAAATGAAAAACAAGGAATTAGTTTCTTGAAATATTAAATTAGATTAGATTATATTTGATTAGATTTAATATTTAATATAATCTAAGTTGTGTTAGTCCAAGCCCAATTAAGATTGTATATAAATAGTCATAGTGTGTATCATTATTTGTACACTTGAATAATACAAATTCTTATTTCCTTTATTATTCTTTCTCTCCTCACTAAAAGTGCCCCACGCACTAACAAATTGGTATCTAGAGCTTCTGGTTATTGTTCTTGATCAAGTTTTCAAAAATTTCACGTCAGAGATCGTTTTTTTAGGGCAAGTAAATCAACAGCTGCGAAGATGGCTAGTGATAAGAGCATTTCAAATTCTCTTCTAATGCTTGACGGTAAAAATTGGATCCGATGAAAAAACAGATGCAATCCTTATTTGACTTCCATGAAACCCTAGAAGTGGTTACCAACGGCGTTCCGGCATTGGCTACAAATGCAACCGACGAACAGAAAAAAGCCCACAACGAAGTCAAGAAAAAAGATTGCAAGGCTGCTTATTGCATTCAAACGGATGTCGATGCTGCTAACTTCGACAGAATCTCTCATGCTGAAACAGCGAAGGAGGCATGAGATATTCTGGTAAAGTATTTCGAAGGAGGTGAGAAAGTCAAGGTTGTCAAATTACAAACCTTGCGTCGATAATATGAGTTGTTGTCGATGGGAGAAGATGAAAAAGTTGTAGAATATGTGTCGAAGGTTCAGAAACTCGTCCATCTCATGAAGGGTTGTGGGGAAACCATTACTTATAAGATGATAGTTGAGAAGGTAATGAGAACGTTGACCTCTCACTTTGATCACGTTATCGTAGCTATTCAAGAATCCAACAATCTTGAAACCACTAAAGTGGAAGATTTGGTTGGTTCGTTGGAGGCGCATGAGATGAGGATTGTCGAAAGGAAAGGAGTTCAGGACTTGATACAAGAACTGCAAGCTCAATCATGGAAAATAGATGGTGGTTCCAACAAATTCAAAGGCAAGTTCGACAAGACTCATGGCAAGAAGTCTTGATCGAATTCCCATAAGAATAAGGTCGAAGATAGATCTTCTGAATCCTCGAAAAAAGGAGGAGGAAACTATCGAAAGGACAAAGAAGATAAGAAATGTATGCAGTGTTATAACTATGAAAAGTGGGGACACTTGGCCAAGAATTGTTGGTACAGAAAAGACAAGGGATCGAAAGGCAAGGACGAAGGAGCAAACCTTGCACGCCAAGATTCAGATGATTCTGAAGGTGGTATGATGGTTATGGCTGCAGTTGCAGATAACCATGTTGAATCTAATATCTGGTTTCTCGACTCAGGTTGCTCGAACCACATGACTGGTCGAAAGGAGTGGTTGGCAGATTTTGACGAGTCGAAGAAGAGTAAGGTAAAACTTGTTGATAATAGTTCATTACAAGCAGAAGGTACTGGCAACATAGTCTTTCAAATGAGTAATGGAGGGAAAGCTATGATCAAAGATGTGCTCTATGTACCTGGAATGAAATACAACTTGTTAAGTGTTGGACAACTAGTTAAAAAAGGTTTCTCAGTTGTCATGAAAGATGGAGTTTTAAAATTGTTCGACACTAAGAACAATTTGATTTTAAAATCTCCATTGTCGAAGAACAGGATATTTAAGACTATGATCAGTTCGACAGAAGTTCAATGTTTGAAAATTGTTGTCGACCACAAGGATAGTTGGTTGTGGCATTTGAGGTTTGGACATTTGAATTTTCGATCACTTAATCAACTGATTACTCAAGATATGGTTGCTGGTATTCCAAGTCTTGAGATGTTTGAAAAACTTTGTGAAGGTTGTTTAGTGGAAAAGAAATCCAGAAATTCTTTCGTTTCGACTATGTCAATGAGATCGTCTTGCATTCTCGAAGTGGTGCATTCAGATGTATGTGGTCCATCTGAAGAACATACAATTGGTGGAAACAAATATTTTGTTTCCTTTGTCGATGAGTTTAGTCGAAAGTTGTGGATCTATATGATCAAATGAAAGGACGAAGTATTCGAAATCTTTAAGAGATTCAAGATACTTGTCGAAAACCAGAGTGAGAAGAAGATCAAAGTTCTACGAACAGATGGAGGTGGCGAATACACATCGAAGATGTTTGAAGATTTCTGTACAGAACATGGTGTTGATCATGAGGTAACTTCTCCTTACACACCTCAACATAACGGAATTGTTGAAAGAAGAAATAGAACCATATTAGATATGGAAAGATACATGCTGAAGCAAAAGAATTTACCAAAATCTTTATGGGGAGAAGCTGTTTCGACTGCAATTTATATTTTGAATAGGTGTCCTACTAAGATATTGAAGAACAAGGTTCCTGAAGAAGTGTGGAGTGGCAAACGACCATCAGTAAGTCACTTGAAGGTGTTTGGCTCTATGTGTTACAAGCATGTTCCTGATGCAAGGAGAAGGAAGCTTGATGACAAGAGTGAAACCTATGATTCTGGTAGGATATCATAAAACTGGTGCATACAGACTATTCAATCCAGTTAATGAAAATATTGTGTTGAGTCGAGATATTGTGATTAATGAAAATTCTGCCTGGGATTGGAATTCTAGCAATTCAATTAACAAATTATTAATGAACTTTGATTTCGACGAAGAAACTAATGAAGTAGAGTTCGAAGGAATTGTTGAGAATCCAGTCAAAGTCGAAGAAGAAGAGGTTGCTGAAACTCCCGTCATAGTCGAAGTCGAAGAGGTTGTGGCTGAAACAAGCCAAAGACCTCAAAGAAATAGAGTTATTCCAACAAGACTTCATGATTATGAAGTGATGGATGATGATAAAATCACACCAGATGAAGAATTAGTTCATTTTGCTTTACTTGCAGGTGCTGAACCAATCAACTATAGTGAAGCTTTGAAGATTAACAAGTGGAAGTTAGCTATGGTCGAAGAGTTACAGGCAATCGAAAGAAAAAACATATGGGAGTTAGTCAAATTGCCAACACATACAAAAGCTATCGAAGTAAAGTGGGTGTTCAAGTTGAAACACAATGCAGATGGGTCAATAGCAAAACATAAAGCAATATTATTAGCTTGAGGTTTTCTTCAAAGAGCAGGACTTGACTACTCTAAAGTATTTGCTCCAGTAGCAAGATTAGAGACTGTTCGACTAGTAGTAGCATTGGCATGCAACCAAGGCTGGTCAACATTTCATCTAGATGTGAAATCAACATTTTTGAATGGTCTTTTAGATGAAGAAGTTTATGTCACACAACCTCTTAGGTTTGTGATTCAGAAGGAAGCGAGTAAAGTATATAGATTGCACAAAGAGCTCTATGGCCTCAAGCAGGCACCTAGGGCATGGAACAAGAAGATCGACTCATACTTAGTCGAATTAGGATTTGTCAAATGGAAATCAGAGTATGGTGTCTATGTTCAGGTTGTAGCACAAGATATAACAATCATCTGCTTGTATGTTGATGACTTGCTAGTAACTGGAAATAGTTTGGAGAACTTGTCGAAGTTCAAAGAGTTGATTACGAAGGAATTTGAAATGTTGGATATAGGAAAATTGTCTTATTTTCTAGGCATGGAATTTTAAATGTTGAAGCAAGGTATAGTGCTACATCAAAGAAAGTATGTCAAAAAAATACTCAAGAGATTCAGAATGGATGATTCGAATCCTGCATCCTCACCTGTCGAACCAAATGTGAAGTTGGAGAAGAATGGAGAGAAAGACAAAGTCGATGCAACTTTGTTCAAGCAAATTGTGGGATATCTGAGGTATGTGTGCAATAGTCGACCTGATATAGGTTTCGCAGTCGGATTAGTAAGCAGATATAGAAGAATCCTTCAATATTTGAAGGGTTCAATAAATTGTGGAATACTATTTCGACGAGATTCTAAAGGCAAAGAAGCAATAGTTAATTGTTTTTTAGATGTTGATTGGTGTGGAGATAAGGAAGATCGAAGAAGCACAACTAGATATTTCTTTCAAGTATTTGGTGCCCCAATCTCATGGTGTTCGAAGAAGCAACCTGTAGTGGCATTGTCATTGTGTGAAGTTGAATATGTAGCGGGATCCTATGTTGCATGTCAAGCAATTATGATCAGATTTGTACTTGAAGAAATGACTGTCGAAGTGAAGAAACCTTTAGTATTGCAAATCGACAACAAGTCAGCCATAAATCTGGCGAAGAATCCAATTCTGCATGGAAGAAGTAAACATATTGAAGTAAGGTTTCACTTCTTGAGGGAAAAAGTGAATCAAGGTGAACTTGAAGTAGACATTGCTCAAGTGAAACACAATTGGCCGACATTTTCACCAAAGGATGAAGATTGACAGATTCCTGAATTTGAGAAAGAAATTAAGAATAGTTCAGATTGACTATTTTTGAGGATGTTCGACAACTTGGATTATGGGGGTGTGTTGAAATATTAAATTAGATTAGATTAGATTTAATATTTAATATAATCTAAGTTGTAGAGTTGTATATAAATAGTCATAGTGTGTATCATTATTTGTACACCTGAATAATATAAATCCTTATTTCCTTTATTATTCTCTCTTTCTCTCTCACTAAAAATGCCTCACGCACTAACATAGTTAACTTATAGGATATAGTTCGGTCTCTAAAGGTGATATCAAACTCTCGACAAAGACTTCTGGTACCATATCTTCATGGATCTTGTTTTGAAATTTAGGAAATTGAAAAGTATTATTTATGGAATCATAAACAATCAACATAAATTTATAATCCAATTTCATAAGAATCTCCATTAGCACTTGGTCATCCTTTGAAATATATAATACCTAAGTAATGGGACAAGGACCCCATGCTTTCAAGTAAGAAACAGTTAACAATTTAGTCCAAGACTTTTGATTACCAAATTCTTTTATAATCCAAACATCAGCAGAAGAGTTGTCACTAAAAAGAAGGGACGAACAACCTCTCAATGTTTCTAAGGAAACAAAACCTGAAATTGTTAATTGCTTAGGATCGGGTAGTGAAAGCTTTTGATACGACTCTTTCTTCAAATCAAGAGAAACAATAAACTTGGATAGCAACCAATTAACAGAGTCACTTACAAATATTCCCTGGTTTGGGACTTGGAAAGTCTTGAATCCTTGTCCAACAATGTGTACCCAAAATATGAACATTGACTTCTCTTTTGGTACTAAGGTCATTAAGAGCAATAACATTATAATTATTAATGAAACGGTCATACACGAATGTATATATGATCTGAAGATATTCTTGGTCAGGAAATTTCAAAGGAGGCAATATTATGAAACAAAAGAGCTGAAGAACTATCTATCGTATAACATAGCATGCCGTCACAAGTGGAGACATGACCCCCTATAGATTTTCCATCTTTAAGTGAGTAGCTAGACACAGTGGCGTCTTTGGAGATGAAGATAGTGCAGACTGGGCAGTGTAAATGAAGGAACTGCGTAGAATTTAGGAAGAGATGGTGGCGGCCTTGGCATGAGGTTGACAAGCGGAGTTGCATTTTGGCAAAATTAGAATCTTCAGAGATAAGAGAATTCCATGACTTACAGACGCAACGGAGGTCTACAGAGGTTTTCTGCAACCAGATCGAAAGGAAGATGCAGTGACGGTGCAGTTAGGGTTGGTCGTATTTTTTGCTACCACCCGTCTTATCAAAAATCCTAACCAGAAGGCTACCCTTTTATAAATTTATTTAGATTAACGTTTTGTTAGACTACATTTTCATATAAGCAAATACTTAAGACCTAGTACTTTGGTCCAAAAACTCAAATTAATTTTTCACAAAACAAAACAAATTATTTAATGCTTACAAAAGGACTTGAAACAAACAAACAAAACCAAACTCTAATAAACACGTGATATCTGGGAAAAAAAAATACAAAATGACATATTTTTAAGCATGGAAATCAAATTGAGAAAACATTTGACAAACCAAAATATATCAAAAATACTTCATTCAACACAAACATAATAAGTCGAATTAAAAATAACTAATCATAATTTTTTTATTAATTAAAAAATAAAATAAGTTTTCCTCTCTTCTTTTTTATCACAATTATCCCATAATCTCAATTAAAAATAAATTAATTTTAAAATAGTATTTCTCTTGCTATACATCGTAGAAATAACCTATTAAAAAAGTCGTTGAAAAAGTATAGAGAAAGAAACCAGATTTATTACAATCAGGGATCTATGGATTGTTCGATCTAATTTAACGGTTTCAAATAATATATATATATATATATATATATATATATATATATATATATATATATATATATATATATATATATATATATATATATATATATATATATATATATATATATATATATATATATATATATATATATTGGGGATCAACTTATTCCAAGAGTAAGTTATTAAGACTTACTCCACACCATTAATTCTTTTCATTCAATAGTTAGGAATATTAAGTATACATAGATCCATTGATCGGGTTAGGAAGGATAAATAAAATAGACGATACATGGTCGGATAAGTGTACCAGCAGCTGTGTCGGGTAATATAGTCAAAAGAGGACATGGTCAGACATATAGGAGGTCAGAAGGGCATCAAACGAGCTTATACGTCGGACGACCCTTGGAATCCATATGTTACAAAGAGTCTGACCTCAATAAGGGCGTTACAGAGTGGTCGACTCTTTAATGACATAACCACTCATCAATATGCGGCGACGCAGGTTATGACAATAATCATCATTAGCAGCAGCGAACGTTACTCAACTTAATATCAACTCAGTTATGTAAGGTTCATGTGCCTCCATATATATAGGGCTTCCGACAGAGGGGTAAGCAAGACACATTGCTTGGAGTTTATGCTCATCAGTATAAGCCTACAAATCCCTAGAATATCTCATACAGACGTACCTCTAAGGTACCTCCTCTTGTTGCCTTCAGAATAAAACAATCACAACTCTCGAACGTAAGAAATTTTAGTGACGACCCTTTGGTTTAAAGATCATAAGTCCCTTGATGACCCTTTCGATGTCGCCTCGTTATATGATCTTAAAACCTTAGGGTAATTACTAAAGTATCTTATGAGTTGCTTTCATGACTGTACGATGACCCTCGCCTGTCCCTCAAAACATCTAACGATAGGGCTACCTACTGATTAATAGTAAGATATCATTATCTAAAGGAAAAGAGGAAAAGAACAAATATTTCGAGTAGGTAGATAGCTCCTAGTTGCTTGCTCATAAAAATAAACAAAACAATTTTTCGCACATACACAAACTCTTCTCTAAAATATTTTCAAAGACAAAACACTTTGTATACGTTCTCTCCGAAATGAGAAACATTACAAAGTTCGTCGCACTTAGTCATCTTTTTCAAAATATTTTCAAATGCACTTACACAAAAAAAAAAGCATTTTTAAAATGAACTAGCAACTAAGAGCCCGTAGATAACTACAGATAGAAAGGGTGCTAACACCTTCCCTTTCCATAACCAACCCCCCTTACTCAAAAAATCTCGAAAGGTCTTTCACGCCAGAAACCATCCCTAATTCTTCGAAGTCCAAGCCAGGTATCTGCTGAATCTCCATAGCATTGAGACGATCCTCCAGATATTTGTATTTATCATCAGCAGGAGGATATTTCTCCTCAGAGTAATCAGCTTCATCTTCATCAGTCCCTGGGTTGTTATCATCTTCATGATTATTTCCCTCATTTGATGGAGTTGTGATATCTAGAGCTCGCTTGACTGGTCCTCTAAATCTTCTTCTCATATTCAAGATGCCAGCCTGTTTCTTTGGCTTCTTGGTCTTCTCTTTGATGATCGAGGTTTTCAGATCCTCATTCCCCTTAGCCAAAGCCAGGAATATTTGTTGAAACTAAGCGTTTTGAGCTTGGAGATCCTTCACTGTTTGTTCGAGAGCCATTTCTTTTGCTGAAATAAACAACAAAGGGATAAGAAGTTTGTTCAGAGAATACCTGTTATGCAATGACATGTATGATATGTAAATGTTTTCAAGGATCTCGCAGGTTAAACAAGAAAATGTCAGAAGTTGAATTTTGCAACTTTGATTGAAGAACTTCATATCGTTGAAGGTCCTTCTACGAGAGTCAAGCTCACCATGTCGAGTGGGTCATAGCCTCTGACTCAAATTGTTGTATTTTGATCTTTTGACGGCATTGGCTAGAGGAAAATAAACCCCCTTGTCCCTTGCTAGACGTCTGGTTCATCATAACCTGCATCACCGGCCCTTGAGATCCTTGAAATGGCTATGGTATGGTGATATGATGTGTATGCTATGCATCAAACAAAATGTAGGGTGATGAAGACAAGTATGTCTTGCTAGAAATCCAGGTTATTGGACAATGACTCATATCACCAGATAATAAACAAAACCTTGCAAAGAGTTCAAGTCATTAGATAGGGAAAACAAGCAAGTCACACAAATAGTCTTAGGTTCAAGCTTGCATGAGTTCCATAGGTAAGTACCCTCTTAAAGTTTAGTGGGCTCAACCTGTCTTATTTATAGTAACCGGGTTCTAGGGAATCTCAATATCACTGATTTTTTCCACAAGTTTCGTTTCGATCGACAACTGACTTACCACCAAACAAAACTCAGGAGTCAAATCTCAATGAGTGTAGTATCGAGTATCAACCGACTTAGGACTACACCAAAGACGGTTATCTCACTACTTCCTAATGGCCAAGCTATTCAATTAAAGGTTCTAAGGTCAGTTGATGCTTCATGACACCATGCAGTGGCCCCGTATTCTCCTTGACTACAAAAGGGCTACCGGTACCAACCAAAGTGTCACATCAACGTAGCAAGAGTCGCCAGTTCTGTGATATGGTGGCAGAACCGACTGTTTATACTGGTTTTGCATTTGTATTCTCAAATGTTGCGGTAAGCAAGAGTCGCCACTGACTTTTCTTTTATCCAAATTAAGGAAAGGGTGAAAAGAACAGAAAAAGACCTTTTCGAGAATTTTCTGAGTAAGGGGGTAGATTATGGAAAGGGAAGGTGTTAGAACCCTTTCCATCCATAGTTATCTACGGGCTCTTAGATGCTTAGCTCATTTGAAAAATACCTTGTGCTTTATGCTTTTTGAAAAATGTTTTGGAATGCCTTAGTGCGGCGATTTACTTTGTGATAACTCTTGTGTGATACGGTGGGAGAACTGACTAGATGTTTTGCGTTTCGATCGCACTTGTGCGGTTAGCAAGAGTCTCCACCAACTTTTCTTTTATCCAAAAGGAAAGGTAAAAAAGCACAGGAAAGACCTTTCGAGATTTTCTCGGGTTCCGGGGGTAGATTATGAAAAGGGAAGGTATTAGCACCCTTTTCATCCATGGTTTTCCATGGGCTCTTAGTTACTCGTTTAGATCACTTGATTTTGCTTGTGGTGTGGGATTTGAAAGTATTTTTAAAAATCTCTTTGTAATGGTTCTCGTCTCTATAAGAACGTATACAAAGTTTTGTTTCAAAAAGTGGTTCAAAGATGTGTTTGTGAATAGTGTTTCGAAAAGTGTTTTGAAAAGAGGTTTTGCAATGGTTCTCGTCTCTATAAGAATGTATAGAAAATGTTTTATCTTTTTAAAAATGTTTTGAAATGAGAGTGTAGGTGTAAAGAGTTTTTGTCGTGAGCAAGCGAGTAACTAAGAGCGAATCTATCTACTCGAAAGGTCTTAAATTGTGTCTTTCTTCTTCCTTTTAATGATGCTATCTTACCATTGATTTAGTAAGAAGCCCCACCATTGGATGTGAAGGGACAGGCGCGGGTCAATTTTACAATCATTGAAGGCAACTTGTGAGACGCTTTAGCAATTTTTGTAAGGGACGAGATCGTTTTATCGAAGGCAACATCGAGGGTCATCGAGGGACTACGATCTTTGTTTATTGAAGAGTCATTTGCTAGAGCGTCCCGTATTCGAGGGACATGATTCTATTTCCGAGGCAACGAGCGAGGTTACCCTAGAGGTGCGCGTGTGAAAAAGTGTGTTGGTTTCAAATTATTTTATTCTTTTATTAGGTCATCTAGCGATTGATTTTGAATCTTATCATACACGCCTAGTTACTATACAATATATGGAAAACAGTAAATTGCAGGAATTGAAATTCTACGCTATTACAAAGTATTCGGGAATGGGGGTACAATTTTTACAAATGGGGA